CCATAACCCTAAGATATTGGTCATATTCTTTCTCTGCTATCCCTTTAAGATTACTAAGTAATCTTAAGTAGATTACTAAGTAGCTCTTGTAAAGGCAACGACAAAGTCCCATTGTTGGTAGTACCATTAAGAGTGGTAACTGTGGGCTGCACCAGCATTTAGGAGGCAGAGGCAGGGGGATTTCTGTGAGTTCAAGGCCAGCCTAGTCTACATAGTGAGTTCCAGGCCAGCTCAGGCTACAGGAAGATTCCGTCTCGAAAAGACCAAAATAAAATAAAATAAAATAAAATAAAATAAAATAAAATAAAATAAAAAAGAGTGGTAATTGTGGAGGCTAGAGAGATGGCTCAGCGGTTAACAGCACTGTCTGCTCTTGCAGAGGATCTGGGTTCAATTCCCCCCAGCACCCACATGGCAGCTAACAATCATCCATAACTCCAGTTTTAGGGGCTATGATGCTTTCTTCTGACCTCTGCAGGTACTGTACAACACAGGTGCACTTAATACATACAGGCAGTACACTCCTACACATAAAATAAAAACAATAAATAAAATATTATTTTAAAAGTATGGTAATTGTGGCAGCTCTCTAGATCCAAATGTAACAAAATCTCCTAATGCAATTAGTTTTTAAAGTTTCCAAACTAGCACTGATAGTATATCATAATTACATCATAGGTGGGGTATCCTAATAATCCAATCAACCAGTTCAAGCTCAATAAGAATTACCTCATGAGACATGGTGACACACACTATAATTTCAGCACTGAGGAGGCTGAGGCATGAGGATGATGAGTTCAAGGCCAACCTGGATTAGCATGACCCTATTTCAAAAAGGGGGGAAAAAGACGAGAAAGACTGATCGCCCTTCCGCTGCTCTTTTCTTGTTGTCCAGATACTTATAATATCTATGTTTTAAGCATTCCAGTGCCAGCAGAGGCTAGCAGCTCATAATAATAATTTTATGTCCTATATTTCATTGTAAAAGAACCCTTAGTTAGTACTTTCCAGACTGTTTATAATAGGTACAAAATCAATAAAATGCAGCACCTTGTGGTTGAATGTGCTTTAAACAAGGTGACAAAGCAAGCTACAATTCAAGAAGGGTATTGAAGGCAAATGCCATATCTGTTTGAAATTATAGAGAGAACATTGATTTTTTTTTAGGCAGAAAAATCAATGTTCAAATTTTAGTTTTGCTAATACACAAGGTTTGACCTCTTAACAAAAAGCACAGCAGTAGCATTTGGGCTGATACAAGACTAAATCTTAGAACATGGCCCTTCTTTGTTTAGAGGTGGTATTAAATATTTCTAAGAAGTCAGTAAATATTAGAAGTAGCCATAAATTATCATAGAGGTGACTGTGCTATCTATTTCCCTGTATTTTGTTTGCATACTGAATCTGTTGCCTTCTCCGACAGAATTCAATCGTCTTACTTGTTCTGTTTTTTTCTAAAAGGATCAGTAGAATTCCTACATTCTGCCGTTTGTGTTAAGTCTTATTGTGTCAAGTTAGTGTCCCCAGACGTTCCTCAGTGCAAGTTCATCTACTGAAGTCTAGTCAGCTTATCAGAGTGGGAGGGCTATGGGAGTATACCAGTGAGGAAGGGGGTATAAAAGTGATTAAAATTGAGATGTTCTGTATGAAATAAACAAAAATTCAATAAAAAAAATTTTTTTTAAGTCTCAGTAGGTAGCATTCTTTCTTGATGATTTCATAATTGGAGCCCAAGCTGCTTAACTCTTCCCATTGTGGAAGGTTACGTATAATGTCCTTCAAAATTTGGAGGCTTGCAGAATGAAATTCTTAGATAGGCCCTAGGATTACTTTTTCTGAGTCTTCACAGATTAAAAGTTAGAGGAATTAGCAAAACTTTGAGGGAAAGAAAAACTTAGGGAAGAAAGTTTGAGCCTTTGGGTATACAATGAGGCAAATCTACTAAAATGCATTGTTGGGGCTGGAGAGATGGCTCAGTGGTTAAGAACACTGGCTGTTCTTGCAAAAGACACGGGTTCGAATCCCAGCACCCACATGGCAGCAAACAACTGTCCATAACTCCAGTTCTAGGGAATCCGACAGCCTCTTCTGTCCTCCGTGGGCATTGCACGACACAGGTGCACTTACCTACATGCAGGCAATACATGCATACATATACAATAAAAATAAATAAATAAAAATAAAATAAAATGCATTGGTAGTGAAGAATGTTTAATGAGAAAGTAGAGAAAGGTAGATTTTTAGCTTTCCTTCTATGAATAGTAGTTACAGATATTTCCTTTTAAGCAACACAAAAAGAGAGTGAGAGAAGACAGCATTTTTAAAGCAAGGCAGACAAAAAATGCACATGCGCGCACACACACGAGTTTTCTGAAAGCTAGAAAATTGTTTTCAAGAAGAAATATTTTATCTGTAGTTGCAATGTTTAGACATTTGGCAATTGGATAAAATAATTTGGGTGGAAATAGGAAAACAGATTGACATAAATGCACAATAGGGCAGTGACTTTCATTTCTTGTACATACACAGTGAAATAGTACTCGGCAATAAATTCTTGGAAAAGTAGAGTAGGGGGTGGATAAATGTCATAGTTTATGACTGAATACATATAAACAGGTGAAAACTCAAGATGGAGAGGTAATAGTAACTACCTGATAAAAAAGACTTAGAATCCTTTCACCCACAGAAAAAATTGCATTAGAGATATAACTTGATACTATAGTTTGATACTTTAAAAAATATTGCTTATATTTTTGGCTATTGTGGATATATAAAATAAATGCCTTTTGTTTTCCCCAAACAAATATTTATCATTTAAAATCTTAACTATAAAATGTTTTAGTATTGCAGTTCTGGAACAAATACCAAGATTATTTTAAAAGGTGACACAGCCATGGGTGTAATTAAGGATAGTTGACCATAGAAATTTATGTAACTTTTTGAAGATTGCTACCATGCTAAAGTTTAGCTCAACAGTGTTGACAGTATAGGAACCTTAAGACCTTTCTTTTATCCTAAGCTCATCCTGTGTGTCTAGCAGTCTTGATTTCAAATTTTTTATGCTTTTTGTTTTTTCCCTTTTGATACAAAGTTTCATGTATATCAAGATGGCATCTTATTCACTAGGTAACCAAGGATGACCTTGAACTTCTGATCCTCCTGCTTCTACCTACTGATAGCTGAGATTTACAGGCATTCACCAACATGTCCAGTTTATTCAGTGCTAGGGATTAAACCCAAGGCTTTGTGCATGCTAGGCAAGCACTGTAGCAACTAAGCCACATCCCCAACTCCCTTTCTTACCTTTTATATTCTCTAAATAAATCTTATCCTTCCCTCTTGCAAGAATTTCTCTGCAACAGATCGCTGCAGCCCACTTTGATTTACCTTCTTTCCTAAATTTCTGTCATATAACTGAAAGCCTCAACTTGCTCAACTTTTGGTAGATAGTCCTTGAGGCCAGAATAATTTGTCATGTGCTGTTTTTTTAACCTTTTGTGTGTTTGTGTGTGTGTGTGTGTGTGTGTGTGTGTGTGTGTGTGTGTGTGTGAGAGAGAGAGAGAGAGAGAGAGAGAGAGAGGTGTGTCCATGTTCATGTATGTGATTGTGGGCACATGCATGCCATGGGGCATGTGTAGAGGTCAAAGACAACCTTGGGTGTTGATCCTTGCCTTCAACCTTGCTTGAGACAGAATCTCTTGTTCTCTGCCGCATTCACCAGGCTAGCTGACCCACAAGCTTTCAGATTCTCCTGTCTTCACCCCCAACCTTGCCAGAGAGGAGTGGGCATTACAGATGCATGCTGCTGAGTCTGGATCTATGTGGTTGTGGGACTCAGAACTCAGGTCCTCAAGCTTACAGGGTTCTCCTGCCTCTGCTTCCCCTCTTACCAGAAGAGTGCTAGAACTATATAGATAGTTGCTACTGAGTCTGGCCTTACATGGGTTCTGGGATCTGAATTCAGGTCCTTGTGCTTGCTTGGCAAGTACTTTATCCATGGAGCCATCTCCCAAGGCCTTGTTGTATTTCCTTATACAGATTAGTTGGGTGATCAGTAAGCATAATGGAAAACTAGGCTTAGGGGAATTCAGGAGAGGTCAGTAATGTGATAATAGATATTTGGAGAAAGTAGATCATGACTTGGAGACTTAAACCAAAAATAAACTAGGTCTTTGATATGAGAAGAAATAATTTTCCAAACTGAGACCATAGAATGATATGACACCCAAATGTGCATACTCTAGTAACTGAAATTATAAGTGCTGATTCCTAAATAAACTATGACACAAATGATTAGATCCTGAGTGGACTGGTGTGGCCACCTCTCTTAAATCATTCCTTCCTTATACATTTTTTATTTCTCCAGGGCACAAAATGAAGAAATCATATTTACAGGAACAAATTCTAATGGTTTAGAAAAAAATATAAAAAGTTACCAAAAAATACACAATACCTGTATGATCCAAAGGAGGAAGCTACAGAGAGTTGTGTAGTTCAAACCGAATTCTCAGGGGGCTTAAGTATGAGTCTCAAGTGTTTGGACACTGTTTTGGTTAACAGTAAGGAAAGACACTGTCAGAAAACTGGGTTGGCCAAGGAGAGCACTAATCATTCCTAGAATGTCCTTGTAGATCTTAGTAATAAGCACCTCTGAAGGTTTTCCTGGTCTGGCACCATCATTAGACTTTATAGATCTTATATAAACAGTGAGTATGTACCTGTCCTTATCTCTAAAGTTGTTGGGACATATCTCAGCAGTTAGTAATATTTAATGTCAAATTTTCATAAATTTTGACTTGAGATGCCCTAATTATTGTAGTGATCTGAAATATTTACCTCATTTAAAAGGATAATGTTCACTTTGAAGGTGATAATTAATTGTATTTAAGAAGAAAGAGCAAAGAAAGTAATATTAATTTGAGTTTTCTTGAGTTATTTAAGGTATTTTCAAAGATCTATAACTAAATGTACTTCTCTTCCAAATTATTATTTATTTCTAGTCATTTGATCCTTCAAAAATCTCAAGGAAAAGTATCACAGCTTATTCTCCTACAACTGGAACTTGTCAAATGAGCCCGTTTTCTTCTCCCACAACCCCTAAAGAACAAGAGCATAGAAATGGACCATCAAATGGTTAGTTGAACATTCTTTTCCACTATGGTAAGATTTTTCAAGTTATTGGTTGAATCAGAATTTTGATTTGGCAATATATAGTTCTTGCTATAGCTGACTTTTCTCTCTTCTCCAAGAATTTAACATAGAAAATGCTAGGATATAATATTCCTTTGGACATAAATGTAAACCTTCTGGGCACTTATTTTAAAATGCTCCTGAAGACTTTGTTCCCTTACTATCCCATCCATTAAACAGAAATAATGGCCTGACTGCCTTTAGCTACTATCAATTATAATAGTTATAGACACGCCCTTCACATCCATCCATCATATGCATAAATTAAAGGGCATGTAAAGCAGGTATTGCTGCACTCCAGTTAAAGAGTGATACTTATAAATTTTTTAATCCCTGTTTTGTCCATTTAATTATGGCAACATTTAGCATATTTTTATATAGTTTTCCTTTATTTATTGTATTTAACATCCCTCTTTTTAAATTTCAAATGCATTTGCAAAAGAACTATAGAATTTTCCATAGAGGATAACCTAATTTTTATACAAAAATCTTTATTTTAAAATATTGTTCAGCCAGGTGTGGTGGCACATGCCTGTATTCCCAGTTACTCAGGAGGCAGAGGCAGGCAGAGCTCTGTGTGTTCGAGGCAAGCCTGGTCTACATAGTGAGTTCCAGGCCAGCTGGGGCTACAGAAAGACCCTATTTGAAAGCATCTCAATTTCATAGGCTTAATTTTTTTATATTATAAAAAGCCATGAATTGGTGACATGTCATTTTCTGTAATATAAAATTTTAAGTAGGCTCAAATTTAATTAAATATATTTTAGATATGATGTGAGTGGCCTAATTCATATTTTATTGTTTAGCGTTTATTAAGTGTAAGCATATACTAGAATCTACACAGAAATGAGTCTCATTTTACCTAATTTGTTTAATAAAACACAGAATGTAGTCGTTAATGTTAAGCTTTTGACTGTCTTTGTTTTTAATTTAATCAAATGCTTTTAATATTATGTTTGTTTTCACACAATTTATGAAAATGTATACATTTTCTCAACTTCTATAGTTTTTATATACCTGATAGATCTTCTTAATTAAGAATAGCTTAGAGAGTGCATGTCTCTTCATGAAAATGTGAATAGATTTCAAGTTGATGCATACTCAATTTCCATATTGAAATTAAATATGGACTTAAGGGAACATTCCTTTTGCCTATAAAAAGATTGGTCACATGGTTTCCCTTGGCATTTATGTGGGTAATTATTACATTTTAGATACCAACTATGCTCTTTTGTAAAAAGTCAAACTGCAAGGGTTTCTGAGGTATTGGCAGTATTCTATTTTTCACCTATGTGGTGATTACTGATTTATTCTAGTTATTTGTTAAACTATACATATATATTTAATTTACTCTGACATAGTTATTCATTAAAATATGCATGTATATTTAATTTACTCTGTCACACATACACATGCACACATATGTCTCAAAACAGGAGAACTTTGTCTAAGGACTTGAATTAGCTTGTGTCATTTATGGTCATACTGATAACCCTGATAAGTATTTTTTGCATGTTTTATAAATAAGAAAGCCTAGTCTTTATTTGATATCGTAAGTTCCTTATAAATAAGAAATTGTGACTTATTAAGTCATCTAAGATCCAGATGAGGTCATAACCTCTATTAACAATTTCCCCTCTTAAAGTGCTGTTCAAAATATAATGTGGAATTTAAGTAACATTTTCAAAGGCATTTTGGTTGCTACTCACTTCCCATTATACTTGGGATTAAATCACAAACCCTTATTATGACTTAGATTTTTGCATGTGCACATAATCATGTGCTCATGTGCCATAGTTTGCATGCAGAGGTCAGAGGATAAGCTTTGGGAATCAGTTCTTGATTTTCATCTTCTAGGAAGCAAGGTCTCTCTCATTTTTGCCTCTCATCTCGGTCTACAAGTGCTCAGGTTACAAATGTGCAGCACTGTAGCAGGGTTTTTACATGGGCTTCTGGGACGGAAATCTAGTCATCATGGTTGTGTGGCAAGCACTTTTTCTTCTTAAGCCATCTCTGTAGCCCTATAAACTGTTACTGTGATGGAGGGGGGAGGGTTTGAGACATGGTCTCCCTGTAGCCCCTGCCTCCCAAGTGCTGGAATTAAAGGTGCCTTATTGTGATTTTAAAACATTTTTAATTTATTAACTCTTTTTATATATGAACAAATGTTTTGCCTGCATGTACATAATTGCATCCTGTGTGAGTAGTCCCTGAGGAGGCCAGAAGAGGGCATCAGATCCCCCGGAGCTGGAGTTTTGAATCATTGTTAGCCATCATGTGGATGTTGGGATCTGGACCAGTGTCCTCTGCAAGAGCAGCTAGTGTTCTTAACCACTGAGCCATCTCTCCAGCCCCTTATCATGATTTGTAGTTATTTATCCATCAGTACCTAGTCATTTGTCTTCCCAGGTCTTCTTACTTATTAGTCATGCTGAGCCCTTGCTGATGGTGAACTTCTGGTCCTCCTGCCTCCATCTTCCACATCCTGGAATTATTGGCATATGTCACCCTGCCCAGGTCAGGTTAATGATTATATGTAACATGTTTAAAACAGTACCTGGTCCTGATAAGTGTCATAGGTTAGCCATTGTCATCACCATTGTCTTTCCCAGCTTATGATCCACTGAAAGCTATTTTCATTAGTTAAGGAAGGGGATCCCTGGAGTCTTACCAGAAACTCCAAATACAGTCTGAATGTAGTCCAGATTCAGTGATGACACACTTATCAACAGTGTTTTGTAAAACTGAACTTAAGAGTCAAGAGCACAGACGTTAACACATGTATGTAAACTTGAAAGAAAAATGCCCATATGACTCCATAGCCCTATAAGATAGATTGTGTTTATTTTTTAAGTAGAATAGAATGAAGAGAGGAGACTATTAACTGAAAAATGTTATTCTGAGAGATACTAAAACTCTTATTTAGCAACTGCAAAGTACTTAAAAACCTAGACGACTAAGATTGTTATTGATCCACATATTGGCTAATATGTGGTTAATTTTTTGCAGTAATAAAAATGTTTAGGAAGGCATTGAGTGCCTGGTAGAAATTCTAATAAAATAAACTGTGCTATCACTGACTCCTGGAGCTAAAAAATGTGAAAATGAATTACAAGTTAAAAAAGCAAAGTAAGCCAGGTGTGGTGGTGCGTACCGTTAATCCCAGCATTTGGGAGGCAGAGGCAAGTGGATCTCTGTGAGTTCAAGGCCAGCCTGGTCTACATAGTGAGTTTCAGGACAGCTGGGGCTACAGGGAAACCCTGTTTCAAAAAGATTTTTTTAAGAGAAGAAGCAAAGTAATTTTAATATTTAATTGTGGAGCTTTACTAAACGCAGACAATATGGTACAAAATTCAGGAAATTAATATTGAAAATTTTTGTTCAAGTTTTTCTGAAGTAAAGAAAATTTAAATAAGACAGACCCTTTTCCTACCTCCTTTTTATTTTCCACCCTTTTATTTTCTTTTTAATATTTAGCACTCTAAATTCATGTTTTCTGTATGCTGACATGTTTTTCTGATTGAAGCACAGTCTCACTATATATGTCAGACTGGCCTCAAACTTAAGATTCTCCTGACTCAGTTTTCCTAGTGCTAGGATTACAGGTAACTACAATTTGGCAATCAAGTCTATTTAAAATTTGACAAATTGTCTTTTTAACTGTGTTCTTTTTTATTATTATTACACACATATAGGAAAGAGCAAAACACTGAATCACCCCAGCTTAACCGAAAAAAAGGAACGTAGAACAAAAGAAAATGATGAGTAAGTTGTTTTTTTGAACTTGTATACTTGTATTTTCCAGGAAAAGATCGACATTTTTCAAAGTGGCAATTTAACAAAAATCATTTGTTTTGTAAATTAATAATTTGCAACTGAGCTGAATTATTCTGTTTATGTATTTATTTTACATGCTTTGCATTATTAGTCTCTTGTGAAGTATTCATTCTTCAGGAAAAGATTTGTGATGTTTTTCAGTGCTTGTGTAGTGGTGGTAGACGGTGCCTTAATTTTAGTGCTCATGGAGCATCGTTCCCTGTGCTGATGTATAATAATAGACCAGTTAGGGTAGAACTAAGGAAACTTCCATGATAAATTCACAGACAGAGAAAGAACAGAATGCCACACAGTAGCATGGTGAAGCCAGGAGAGTAAAGGCTCCAAGAAACCAGGTTTACATGCCAGCACCGATCCATTTCCATACTGATCTGGCAATGATGCCATTGAATGAAAGTATTTTCTGCAAAAAGCCTGTATATCCTAGAAAAGAAAAATATTTATATTTGTCTTCCTGGAATGCTTGAATTAGGCAGGGGAGTTAAATTTTCAAAGTAGCTTATCTCATTTGCCAAATGATTTCTGTGTGGTGCACCCTATAATGGGAAATGAAGTCTCTACCACTCAGAGCTCATGGTCTTATGTTGTAAGTTAATATATCCTCCTCAACTTAGAAATGGGTTATATCAGTAGCATCTCACTTTTCCCCAATACTTGTCACAATTAAACTGTTCCTTGAGAGCCAAACATCTTACTTTTGAAGACCACTGGGTTATTTAAATTCTGAAAAGTCCTGAAGAGACTAAACCTGTGAACTTGGTTTAACACAGTGCATTCCCAAACATGACTGTGCAAACACCTTCCTCCATGGAACACAAGTATGAGGAGAATTGGATTGTGGAACCTGACAGCATGAAGGAAGCATGGGCTAGATATTTCTGTGGCTGTGTGGTTTCTTCTCAAGTCTTTGATACAGCACAGGAAACAGATCCTTGTGCTGTGATCCCCGTATCAGTAATCAAATTATGAGAAAACCAAAATAAAATGATCATTGATATATTTATTCAACAAATATATATTGCACATTGATGCCAAATATTGTGACACAGGCTGACGCTACACAGATGAATAAAACCTATTTTGTTCCTTGAGCTTACCATCTAGAATGGGAAGTAGACACATAAAATGTTATTAGAATAACATATGGTGTCCCAATGGCCAGAATGACATTCCAAATATGTCTGAACTAGGTTCCATAATAAATTTAGGTGATAACTATACCTTAGAAAATAGGACACTGGGGCTAAAGAGATGGCTCAGTGGTTAAGAGCACTGGCTGCTCTTACAGAAGATCCAGGTTCAAACCCAGAACCCATATGGCAGCTAACAACCATCTGTAACTCCAGTTCCAGTGTATCTGATGCCCTCTTCTGACCTCCATGGGCATTACACGACTTGGATACACACACGTGCAGGCAATACACTCAAACACATAAAATAAAAATAATAAATATATATACATATATAATAGAATGCTTTGGGCAAGGAGAGATGGTTCAGTGGTTAAGAACACTGGTTGTTCTTGTAGGGGATCAGGATTTGGTTCCCAGCATCTACGTGGTAGCTCATAACTGTCCATAACTCTAGTTCCCGGGGATGCAACACTGTCTTCTGACCTTGAAAAATATAAAGGGCTAGAAAACTGAATGTGAATTTCTTTAAATAGAATTAATGTGCTGAGTGCAACTTGCCACATTTTTTTTAAGGAATATAAAACTATTGACCACTGTTCACCATTATTTATAATAAAGTAAACAATATATAGTTGGATAATATTCTGATACTACAAAGTTATTTTCCTGGTTACTGTTGAACCAGAAACCCAAATACTGAAAATATTAAGCCCACAAGTAAGGAATGAGTCAGGGTTAAGAAAAAGCATACAGGTCAATAGTTTATATTACCAAATTTTGTTCACTCATTCATGTCATCAGTCCTAAATTGTCAACATCTCTAACCATAATTACATTTCTGTGAACTGTCTTAGATAGTCCATGAATCATAACCTCTTAATTCACAGATTTCAACATTCTGTAAAGGAATAGCTCAATAGAGGAGCCTTCATGTATACATTTATGTCTTATTACCTAATTAAAACAAACCACAATTTGTCTTGTTTCCTTGTCTGAGTGGAAGAGTTGGGTTGGTGGCAGCAAACTTTGAAACTAAACAACTCTATTTATGTGATAACATACATGAATTCTGGTGTGACTTTTTAAAAATTATCCAACCTAAACTGTCTAACTAGCTACATAATCATCTATTTAATTTAAAAGGTTATGGCTTCAGGAAAATTATCAACTGAACCAAAGTGATTTCTTTGTTATTCACAGTGATAGAATTTCATCAACATATGTACTACCCTTAGTTTTTGTTTTGGTGAATTATTAAAAAAAAAAGTCAAAGCACTTGGGAGGCAGAGGCAGGTGGATCTCTGTGGGTTCAAAGCCAGCCTGGTCTACATAGTGAGTTCCAGGACAGCTGGGGCTACAGGGAGACCCTGTCTCAAAAAGACTGAAAAAAAAAAAAAAAAAAAAAGCAATTCTGGCCAGCACCAAGTCAGCCACATCTGAATCCTTCCATTTCATGAGAAGCATGAATTCTCCACTGCTGTCTGTGGCACTGATGATTTGTTCAGGATCAAGACCTCTGGCAAAGCCTCTTGGTTTGTCAGAAGCATCTCTTTTCTTCTTTGATTTGCTATCATCAGATTCACCATCAGATAAAGAGTTTCTTTTTGTACCATCTTTTTTGAGAATTAAGAAATGTTTCAATTAACTCTAGACCATCTAAATTTTCTTCAGGTTCCTAAGTATTACCACCATCTGTACATCCCTTCCACTGCAGGAAATACTACACTTTCCCATTCATTGCATGTTGATCCAGTACTTTCTCTACTACAAATTCTTCAGGCTCTGCCTCTTCAACTTTTTTACTCGTTCTGTTCTGTTTCCTGTTTTTTGCAATGTAGTTTTATTGGAAGCCATCTTTTAGAATTGCAGACTTGTGCTGGGCATGGTGGCACAGGCCTGTAGTCCCAGCATTTGGGAGGCAGAGGCAGGGGGATCTCTGAGTTCAAGGCCAACCTGGTCTACGTAGTGAGTTCCAGGTCAGCTGGGGCTACAGGGAGACTGTCTCAGCACTGGCTGTTCTTTACAGAGGACCCGGGTTCAATTCCCAGCACCCACATGGTGGCTAACAACTGCCCGTAACTCCAGTTCCACAGGATTCTGACCTTCGTGGGCATTGCATGATACCAGCGTATTTACATACTTGGAGGCATAATAACACTCATACACATAAAATAAAAGTAATAAATAAATAAATAAATATTTTTTTAAACTGCAAACTTGAAGAGAATCACCACCATCCATAGAAGATAGAAAGCAAGCCACCGATGTCACGCTGAGATGCTCCTGGCTGCAGGTCCTGCAGTCTCTCAACTTGCCACCTTTAAATGCTTAGTCTTAACCATTAAGCCATCTCTCTGACATTAAATGCTCAGTCTTATTAACCAATTTTTGTTCATTCCTAGATTCTTGGTGTTGCTATCTAAAATTGAAAAATCATCAGAAAAAATCATGGAGATAATGCAAAATTTAAGTAGTATACAGGTTTGTACCTTACATGTCATTTTTCATACTTCCACTATCTCTTTTGAAAAGGATAATAAGAAAGAAGCCCCATATTGGACAATCCAGTCCAGTCAAGTCTTAAAGTTTTTGATAATAAATTGGTCTTACCTGGGGATTACGGGCTTGCAATACTGTACTTACCAGGAAAACATAAATTTCTGATCATAAGAATTTTAATTTTTTAAAATATTTTATTATTTTTTTATTTTATGTGTATGAGTGTATTATCTATGTGTATGTGAGTGCACCCGTGTCATGCAGTGTCGCAGAGGTCAGAAGAGGGCTGTAGAGAACTTATTTAACTCATTAAAGGTGACTTTCTTTTAGGCCTTGGAGGACAACAGAGAGCTTGAAAATCTCATTGGCATTTCCCGGGTGCCATGCTTCTTAAAAAGAGAAGTGGAGAAGACCAAAGAACTAAGTAAGAAAAATTCATGCATTTTTAATGTTAGAAATTTTAGAGAGAAAGCGCCTAATTTTTCTCTCACTTAATTTTGGTGGATTACATGTGCCTATTGCCTTCTTTAAATAAGAAGTCATGTATCTTTTATCAGGATATGTTGTTTTGTGGAGTCCTCTTAAATGTAGAAGAAAAGATTGCACACTAGATACTGCTAATGGGCTTCTTTTCTGTTGAGCTTATTTTAAAAATAAGATATATAATAGAGCATTCCATTTTGTACTTGATACCTATAGTGTGTATAACTTTTAATTATTTTTCTTACAAAGTTTTTTTTTTTTTTCCAAATAATGAGGACTTATTTGTATTCTTTGTTTGTTTCTAGACCAGGCTATCTGGAATTCACCATGTAGCCAAGGCTATTTTGTAACTCATAGCAGCCATCCTTCCTCAGGTTCCTTACGATTACAGTTACGTACCACCACACCCAACCATTCCATGTTAATTCTTCTTAAAATAATTTGTGTGTGTCTGTATATGTGTCTGTGTGTATGAGAATGTGTTCATGTATGGATGCAGGTACTTTTACCTATGTGCATACACAAAATGTCTTTTGTTAATCTCTACCTATTCCTTTGAGGCAGGGTCTCTCCCTGGACCTGAAGCTTGCATTTTCTTAGCTAAGCTGAAAGCCAACAAGCCCTAGGGATCCTCCTGTCTCCACCTCCCTTGGAGCAGGTGCTATAGGCATGCACAAGATGTCCAACTTTTTGTGAGTGCTGGGTACCAAACTCTAGTCCTCATAATTGTTGAGAAGTTCTTTTAACCACTGAGCCATCTCTGCAAGTCCTCATGTTACATTTTTTTGTTCACTTGGGTTTTTTTGTTTGTTTGTTTTTTGAGATGGTGTCTCCCTGTAGCCCCAACTGGCCTGAAACTCACTATGTAGACCAGTTTGGACTTGATCTCATAGAGATGTGCCTGTCTCTGCCTCCCAGGTGCTGGGGCTAAAGGCATGTGTCCCTATGCCCAGTTTCTCTTTTTACTTCCTTTTTTAATTTTTGTGAATTTCATACAATATATTTTTATCATATTTAGATCTCCTTCTGTATCTGTACCCACCAAATTTCTGTACATATGTATGTGTGTATTATATACACACATATACTCTCTAATAAAATATTTATATTTTATTATTATTATATTTAATTATATTATTATT